TTGGTAGGATAGTTATCGGAGTAGAAGAGCAATCAAGTTTCTTTAAGGAGTTGGGTAATGTTGGTAGGATAGTTATTTTAGTACCAATGCAATAGAGTTTTATTAAGGAGTTGGGTAATGTTGGTAGGATAGTTATCGGAGTATAAGAGCAAATAAGTTCCGTTAAGGAGTTGGGCAAAGTTGGTAGGATAGTTATTTGAGTAATATAACAATAAAGTAATTTTAAGGAGTTGGGTAATGTTGGTAGGATAGTTATCGGAGTACCACAGCAATCAAGTTCCGTCAAGGAGTTGGGTAATGTTGGTAGCATAGTTATTGGAGTTTCATAGCAATAGAGTGTTTTTAAGGAGTTGGGTAATGTTGGTAGGGTAGTTATTTGAGTATGACGGCAATTGAGTTTTATTAAGGAGTTGGGTAATGTTGGTAGGAATGTTATCGGAGTATTATGGCAAAAAAGTATTATTAAGAAGTTGGGCAAAGTTGGTAAGATAGTTATTTGATTATTATAACAAGAAAGTATTTTTAAGGAGTTAGGTAAGGTTGGTAGGACAGTTATTTGAATACTAGAGCAGTCAAGTTCTGTTAATTTTCGATATCTTTGTAATCCTCCTAAGGAGTTTAATATGTCATCCTTATTAGATTTCGTAATCCTTAAACTTTTGGTTATATCATCATAAATAATATCATTATCTAATTCTACTTTCTTTTGACAATTCATCTGATCAAATCGAATAATTTGAGAAGTTTCTTCTAATGAATTATTTACGTTAGAAACAGCTTCAAAGTTATTTGATTTGTAATTATTCACTTGATAGTTTTCTGTTATGTTTGTTTTCGATACAATTGCATTTAATTTATCAACTATTTGATTCATTGATGGACGATTATCTGGCTCATTATCCCAACACCCTGAAGTTAGAGAAAATATTTAATAATCTTTTTAGATTCTTATAAATAATTCATAATCATATATTTACCAGTATAAATGTTCACATAATCATCAGGCGTGTCAGGAATGGTCCTTTCTCTAAGTCCTCCCAAAATTTCGATAGCCAAACTTAGGTCTTATGCTTCATCCTTATTATAAAAAGGAGGTCGACCGCTTGATATCTCCCACATGAGTACATCAACACTGTAAACGTCGCTCTTTTCGTTGAGTTTAAATTGTGGAGATGTATTGTCATTTCTTCGTCTGCTAAAAAATTTTGGGTCAACATAAGGAATTGCTCCAAAAGTGTTTGACTGATTAGTTTCCGCTTCTATCTTTTTCGATAATCCAAAGTCGGCTAGTTTTATGACACCTTGATGAATTAATATATTGCCGGAATGCTATTTAAAGCATATAAAAAAAATTGTTAATAATAAACAGAATTATTCGTAAGAAAATACGTATTATATAATTTACCAAATCACGATGCAAAACTCCTTCGTTATGTAAACACGATACAGCACAAGACAATTGGTATGCCAAGTTGTATTTATCTCCCCAAGCAAGTTTATCAAAATTTTCCGTCAAATATTTTTTAAGCGCACCTCCGTCATCATATTCCATTACTAACCAATATTGTTTCAATTGATCATTTTGATTTTCTAATTTTTTTTTTAAAAAAAAAAAAAAAATTATAAATAAATTAATAATAAAGTACAACTTTAATATATGTAGTATATCCTCATTATTTAGAATTTACTACCTTGGTTTGATGTAATTCCCAAAAATCGGATGATATTGCTATGAAAATCAACCTCCAGCTGAAGTTCAAGCTAAATTATTAGAATATAAATCTTAGCTTAATATACAAAAGATTTTATATTAAATAGACCGAAATAATCGAAGTGAACAGAAATATAATCTTTTACCTCATGAATAATTTTTTTAATGGTATTATTACTAATGTTATGAAATGATTTTAAAGCGAAATGTTGATTTGAATTTTTCCAATTTGCACGATAGACTTTCCCAAAGCCACCTGTACCAATTTCTTGAAAATTGCTAAATTTTTTAAATTCATAACATTTGATATTTTTTCTTGAGATATATTCTTCAACAGACTCATTTGAATTATTGGCAACTTGCATTTTGATTAATTAAATAAATAATTACAGTATATTGTATATTCTTGGAGAAAAGAAAAAAAAATACACTTGGTAGATTTTGCGTTAAATAAAATTTCTAAGCCACCAGGTCATTTGTATTCGAGATCGACAACCGCTAATAAAACCATATGCAATAAGATTTTTTTGCAAGACTAAAATAAAGTAATGAAATTTTTTTACAAAAGAAATATATTTATTTTTTTAATTAAAACAGATCTGTAATTAAATAGATTTTTTTTAAAAAATAAAAAAAACGAAAATGATTTATGCATTTATAGTTTTTTTATGATTTCAACTTTTTTTTTCATCCAATAGAATAATTTGAGCAAAATCACAGTTTTTGGATAAAAGTTGTTTATTCAAAAAAAAAATAAAATTTCGTTTCGGGGGATACGAGTCAATAATAAATGATCGGCACAAATTAGAACTATCCGTTGTATAACAATAAATCACTGGAATATTAGCTTCAAATATTTAAAACTCTCTGAATTTCAATCGGGAATAGCATCCTTATTTTATGAAATTTACAGTTTAACTTTTAAGCGATCGATATTATATTAGTTGATTTTACAAATTTAAGAGACGTTAAAATGGATTATTCTTGTACTAAGGTATACTCGAAAATTAATAACGTGCTCTCTGAACCAAAGTGAAAAGTTATAATTTTCATTTCATATTTGGAAATAAATATACAGAGTAAACATATTAAAGGGTCTCAATTTTTTATATTTTTATTAATGTTAATGAATGATCTTTCGTCATTATAATAAAGTTCAAGGAAGAAGCTATCCTCAAAAGGGTTTCGATTTTCGATACGAAACTACTCGGATATTAGCGCTAAAAGACAAACAATAATAAAATTTAATTAATAAAATTCAATTCATAAAATACGTTAAGCATATAATTTTTAAATTGAAAAAATGAATTCTTTAAATTAATGAAAGTAAACATTGTAGAATCAAATAAACTATGGTGTTAGTAATCCAGGTTATAAACGTTAATTTATCAAAGAGTATATAGTTCTGACCCTGAATCAAGTTTAATATTACCGCAGAATATACTTGCATTATTGCTAATCGTACCAAGAAAATATCCAGAGGTTTTGTCGTAATAGAAAAATAATTTAATGTCACTTTTATAATTTTATCTAAAGACTTGAAGCTATAACTTTTGCTATTTAGTACTATTATTTTAATAATTTAAATCAGATTGATCCAGAAAGTTATAAATTATTACCTATAAATAAAATTTTACAAATGGCAGGCAGACACAAAATATTCTTCAAGCTTATAATAATTGGAAAGAAATTATAAAACTTAAAAAAAATTTGACCTAAACACAAGCAGTATTCATAAATAATCTTCAATAAGCCAATAAATAGCTCTCAAGCCCGCAAATCCAATACAGACCCTTTAATATAATATTCTTTATAAATTTTCAAGTGACCGACATCTTCTAACATGGGCGGGAAGGCTAAATTATTAAAAACGATTTCCAATCAGCCAGTTTGTCTGAAATTTTAGTCGAATTTAAGGTATAAAAATGGTGGATTGATAGGAGATAGCATAGATGGCATTGATCTCTTTAGTTTAGAAATTCCCCTTAGAGTAGTTTTTTAATTTAGCTGCAGTGATTTCGCAACTATCTACATTTAATAAATTTGACTCCGGAATTACAAAGGAGGCAGTACTTGACTAATAAATCTTGCATCATTTTTGCTTAATTATAAACCTTCTGCTATCTTCTCCATTCGTTTATAAATATAAACTTTAAGCACTGAGCGCAACCTCATTTTTTTTTCTTTTATTGTTACATGAATTATTACATTAATTTTTGCTTTATTATAATATGCAAAGTTTGTTGGTCTTTAAATTTCTTTCAATTAAAAAAATATATAATTTCTTTAAAAAAAAAAAAAAAAAAAGGCTATTAAATTCTTCCTAATTTTTTTATTATAATCGCGAATAAGTCAATATAAGGCCTATTATTGTTGTAACTTCGAGAATATGCAATTGTTTCTGTCCTAATTATTCTAAGTTTTCCGACAGAAAATATAACAAAACAAATTTGATTTTAAATCACGTTACCATAAAAAATGGTATATTTTTTTAACGTTCGTGTCTTATATTTTGACGCGACTTCATAACTTGATTTATCAAGGTGTTTTTTTTAAGGCATTTTGTTTTCTGTATGTCTGATAGATATCTTACTTTACAATGCTTTTGGTTGAATTGCTTGCCTTATCAACAATTACCTTTTTAAGGGTGATGAAGCAAATTGAATCTTTAATAACATTAACAAAGGTCGTGTCGAGTCTTTTCCTAAAAGCATCTTGGGCTCGAGTTTATGTCAGGCGTCGCATTCAACACTTCGAGAAAGTATGCTCTTGTTGTTAAACATTAAGAAACAATAGAAATCATTCCCAAAGAGACGATAGATATTAACGTTCTCGCTCAAAGTATAAATCCAGGGAATTGCTAACAATATATGTAAAAACATATTACTTCAACAAGGATGTAAAGCATAAGTTAAATTCAAAATAAGTGAACTAGACCTAAAGAAAATTGTATCTAAAATAAAATTAGCAAAAACTGTGCCGAGTCATTTCCTAGAAGCGTTCTAGATTCGAGTTTGTTGTTAGGAGAAGACCGCAACTCTTCGAGACGAGACGTTATTTTCTCGTTGAAATTAAATCATTAACAAATTTTGCTCAAAGAATAAATACTTGGGCTTGCCAATAATGTAAAAACATACCTTTATTCAACAAGTAAGTTTGGCGTAAGTTCCAAATTTCCATATAAAATAAACCTATGAGCATTTAAAACAATAGAAATCTAGCAAATATCTACACATTTCCTAAATTAGAGTTTGATGTTAAGCTTCGACCGCAACACTTCGAGGCGTTCTTTCACACAAAGGGTCAATCCAGAGGACTTTGTAACAATTTAAGTATGTAAAAATATCAAGGTTCCCCAAAAAAAAGCGAACCTAAAAATAAATTTAAAAGCAATATAAATCCATATTTACGTTAGCAAATATCGTGCTAGGTCGTTTCGTAAAGTGCCCTGGACTTCATGTTCACCCAAAGGGCAAATCCATGGGATTTCTAACAGTATATACCTTTTCACCGAGGGACTTTGAGCGTAGGTAATACCGAATAATTTTTGTAAACAATCGGGATTCGAGTTTCAGGTTATGCAACACTTCGAGGTAGTATACTCAAATCCAAATATTAGATTTAGCAAAGAAAAATAATATAATTTCTAGAGGAATTTATATAAAAATGACGATTCCCCAAAAAAGGAAAACCACCCTAGTATGATTTAGAGATAGTTGCTTTTAATTAAAATGTGAAATTGATACTTTATTTTTAGGATTCGTTACTCAGCCATTAAGACAGAAATCTTTTTTTTCAAAACGGGTCCGCCCATATTCTTTTAATACAATATTACCAGGTCCTGCTTATGTAAATAGAAAATTATAAAAACTAAGAAATCACGTTCGACTAAATTATTGTTAATAATTTAGTTATTATTCATTAAGAAAGATTCATTTAAATGTTTCAAATAGATGATTTTATATATACTTTAATTATTTTGAAGAAATAATTTCATTCAATTAGAATGACTTTTATCATTTTTATTGAATGATATGATAATATATATAATATTAATTATTCTTATTTAACGATTTGTATTATCACTATGACAAAAAATATCCTTGGATTAAAGAAGCAATTCTATAGCTTTTCGATATGCACAATGTCACAACAAATGAGAAGTAAAAGATTTAGTCAAAATGAAAATCCGGTATGAAATAAATGTAAATAACCATTTCTATTTTTTTTTTATTTTTTAAAAAAATACCACTACACTACTAATTCGGGAAATTGAATTTAGGTAACTCATAAAAAGGCAATGGTAATTTTATTAACATATAATGATAAGAATAATCATTTTTAAATATTTAACATTATATACTGTATATAAGCTATTATTTTTTAATAACTTGAAAAACTTCGTAAACGTCGACATTAAAAGTCGCAGGTATACCATAAATTTTGGAATAAGATAATTGAGAGCTTATCCATGTACCATCGATATTATATCTTAGATCATTACCGAATGAGGGTCCATATCCTGGATAATTACCTATAGACCATTGATCATTATTACAATATCCTACTTTTGCGGTTTTAAGGTCCATTCCATTTTTAAATAAGAAGATAAAGCTATCATAAGTACGTCTCCATCCACTTGTTAAATCCCATACAAAAGGATTATATCCTCCCACAATTTGCTCGGAATCATTAATTTTTACTATAACAACTGTCGCCCCCTTGTTATCACAATTTTGATGAAATGCTGCTTGAGACATGTCATCTTTGGTAGCACGATAAATTAACTTAAAATCATAAGGCATGTTCTTAATTTTATAATGTGATTCGTTCTTTTTATCTATCCAACTCGAAAACATGGAAAAATGCCGAGATTTAACTATTATTGAATCACATTTTGACTGTCTAGGTAGTTGTATATCGATATTTGATTTCTTGTTTGGTGCCAAATAAAATGCCAATGTTGTATTAAATAATTCTTTTGATAACAATTTTTTAAAAGGAAATACTCTTTCAAGAAAATCTTCTGAAGATATATATTGAAATCTAATTAAAGGGATATATCTGTGAAGAGTTCTGTCCATGATTGTTGTTACTTCCTTGCTCCATTTGGTGACATCTTTAGGAATAGTCGGATTCTGAGCAAATCCCCACCTAATTAAACTATTCCAAATATCAATTTCCTCTAAAAATAAATCATCCCGTTTCAAAAGTAGTTCCAATAAAGGTGCTTTTATACTGATAAATTTTTCAGAATTAATAAACGTTTCGGGGTCTTCACATATTTTTTCAACATAAAAATTGAATAATTTTGCAAAGGACTCATGTTGATAAACTATTTCAAGTAATTCTATGGAATTTTTTTGTAAAAACTCGTGATGGTCATCAAGCAAATATTCTTCAATTCTGGGAGCTAAAGATTGAAGATTTAGTAAATCTGCTGCTATTAAAAGCTTCAATAATTCAGGACCTTCCAACTTTGTAAAGTCAATTTTTCCGCAATATATGAACCTGAAATATTAAAAAGAAAATTATATTATATATATCATTGTCGTAATTATCTTACATTTCATATTCTATATTTCATTACCTTAAGATAGTTTTAAAAATATGTGGAGAAATATTGGGTATTTTTAAAATGAATTTTCCATCTTTTTTCTCAACTTTTCCTTTAGTTAGTTCATTACGAAGATATTGCGACCTGATACGTAAAATATTTGAGAGAGCATGAAATTCTTTAACGCTTTCTTTTTCACCAGCATATACAATAACGTCATATTCCTCGTCAGTTTCGAGTAACCTTTCGTAATCGTCTTGCAAACGTTCCAAATACATTTTTTTTACGTAAATGTAGTAAAGTGAACAAGCTTGCAATTCATTGAAATTTATATACTAATTCGGTAATGGGCGTAGTTAACTAAATTTAGAATAATCATATTGTGATACAGTAGACCTTACATCTCTTTTTGGCGTTTAAAGGAATTTTTTTTTGTCGCAGATCATCGCAAATTGTTATTTTATAAAAAAAAAAAAAAAACCGTGATCTAATGTAAAATACATTTTAATCGATTAGAAATACGAAGAACTTACATTAGACTGTTAACAAATCTTGTTCCCGTTCTGCTGATCGTAACGAACGAAACTCCAAATCAAAAAAAAATTATTCAAATATCGTTCATTATAGAACTATTAACGATTGTCATTAAATGTTTTTGAAACAATTATTATGATGATGATGTTTTATTAGAATAACATAACATTTTCCTTGAATATAAAATCTCTAAATATGGAAAACTAATTTAAAATTTTAAATACTTGAATAATTGAACCACATTCAAATTATTTCGTCAAATTTGAGCGAGAAGATTGATAGATTCGACTTTAAATATTCTTGTAAACATTTACCTTTGATAAATATGACTTACAAATTCAAATTTATTGGCGTCTATGCTATTTTTATAACGGTATTTGATGAAATTATTTTTTTTTGTTTTAAAAAAAAAAATCATTCATTGAGAAAAAGGTACGCGTCAGTGCTTGGTTTTAAATTTTTCTAATATATATATATATATACACAGTATACTGTATATATATAAATAAAAATAAGGATAATATGCATATTTTTTTGGGAAACAGAAAAGAAAAGAGCAACTTGCAGGCTTGACAAAATTTTTTTTTTAAAAAAAAAAAAAAATAAATACAAATCATCACATTTTACAACGGCAATCGTAATGAAAATAACTTCTTCATTCCGTAAAATCCGAATATTATATATATTCAATAAATTAAAATAAACTTAGTAAATAAAAAACCGAGAAATGCATTGTCTTCTAGTTGCTATATAACGTCATCGCTGAAGAACAATTTAAAAGGACAAACAAGTTTAAGAACTATGAATTAAAAAACATTGTTATAAGAAATTAATTTACAAAATTTATTAAGAATATATCTTGATCCAATTTGTCGTTGATAATTGGTTTATTTTTGATCCAAGACCCTTAAATTTTTTCTTTAGCTATGTTGTAGCCCAAATGCGTTTATGTCCGAAATCGGACGTTTATTGTTTTATATGGATTTTAAATAAATTGCTCCTAAGCCTATAAAATTCTTAAAAATATTCGATCTGCTAATGCATTGTTTTTCAATATTTTGTTGAATAATAAATTTGTACAAAATAATTGATTAAATGGGTTGTGATCTAAGAAAATCAAGTTGAGAAATTTTTAACTAAAATTAATATCTTATTACATTTTAGTTTAAATGTAATTAAAAATTAAAAAAATGCAATCAAAATCTCAAAATTTGATAAAAAATTCAGAGAACTTGATTTTCTTCCCAAATCATTTATATTTCCCGTTTACTAATCATTCGACCATGATATTACACATCGATACGATATTTGAATTTCTGAAAAAAATATATCATCACATCATTCGGAAATCGTTTATCAATGAATTAATAGATATGTCTAGATATCCAAAAAAAAAAAAAATATTAAATTCACCTATCTGTATTTATTCAACCAAATTAACGAGAGAAATGAAATATAGCAAAGTCTAATTGCCAGTCGGAACTCGAAAGTTTTTAAAAAAAAAATTGATTTTTCTAAGAAATGAGAGCTTCTTGTCTTTGATCTTGCTATCAATCTCACCCAGTATGCTGACCTCATATCTGACGATTTCGATCGTAACTGAAGCATTACTGCGGATCCAGCTTGATTCCCCGTCTCAATATAAGATCTTACTGCGAACCCACTCGTCGCTGATTAAAATTTTTTTAGAAAATTCTCAAATTTTTTGGTAATTGAAGAATTTATTATTGTGATTTTCACTAAAAAAAAAATTATGAAAAAAAGTCAGTAAAACTCAATAAATATTTTGGTATATCTGTAAGCTATATTAGCCTTTCAATAAATAAGAACGTTTAATAGTCACGAACGATCAAAACGAAATCATTGAACCTCCAAACAAGTAGAGCATGTAAAGACATGCAGTCCAGTTTAAATATGCAGGAAATACTAACAGTGAATTATTAATAGCCCACCACTATTTCTCGATTTGGCATTGACAGTAGGAAGCTAACGAGGAACTGAGATGGCACTTGAGGAAATATTAACGTGAGTAAACTAAAAGTATTTAATAAACAGGTCTTTTTCATAATCACAATTAGAAACAAAATTCCCTTTATTAATTTCATATTTATAATCTATCAAATGTCTTGTCTTTTTCTTGGAATATTGACAATTCTTGACATTTCAAAGTATAATGAAGTATAATGAGAAATTTTTTTTTGGTAAAAAAATCTTGAAAATTAATATTAATAAGATGTGACTAAAGCTTCTTTCCATTTTTTTTTCACTAATTTAAAAAAGTTGTGGAAGAGTCCGCATTGTAAAAGCACTTATATAGTTTTGGTCGTTGATTCAGATCTTTTGTGAATCAATCCTCCAAATATAAGTTCGAAATCAATAACGAACTTTATTTGAAAGTATTTTTTTTCGCGTCTATTCTGTACCCCTCCCCTCCCTTCCTACATCATCATGATACCTATCGTTAACTTTGATCGGGTGAATTCTAAGTTTTGATAGTTTTCAGATTTACTTAAAATAGTGTCACTAAAAATCACGTGATAACATTTTCACTAGTAGCATTAAACAAAAATTTATAATACGCATCGCTTAATATTGGGAGTAATTCAGTTTGTTCGGTAGTAGTTTCGTATTAGGATGTTTTTCTTTCTTCAATGATACAAAAAGATCACATTCATTTTGATGATCTATCGTTCGAGGTTTTGATTAAAATCCACTAGCCAATCTGAAATATGTAATCAGCAAAATAAGAGACTTATTTTCGGAAAGGGATCAAAAAAAATTTTTTCCACTTTTTTTGTTCTTTGATAACTCAATCGAGAAATAACGCAATAAAGATAATTTTGATTATCGTAATTACTGGTATAAATTTTATTCAAGTAATGTTTTTATTCACACCCGATCCTATTTAATATACAAAAATATGAATGAAAAAGAAAACATATTTATTCGCTGCTCACAATATACTTTTGATTTGAATGCGTCATCAATTTGCCCTTGGGAACGTTATTCACGTGATCTTCTTATATTCTTGAGCCATGCATCACGACGAGAGATGTGAAGATCCCTAATAGATTTAAATATCATCGCATTTGGAGCATGTATTTCCCTATCAAGCAAATATTTTTTAAATCGAGGAAAATAAAAATTTCTAACAGATGGTCGGAGCTCGGACCATTTGCATTCACCATTTCTTAATTTTCTTGTTGATGCATCTTCAACGAAAATACGAAGATTTTTCTAAAAGTAAAAAGAAAACAATTTAAATTAAATTAAAATTTACATTTAATGACGATAAATAAAAAATTTATTTAAAATAATTTATTACCTTTACTAGCTTTAGTAATTCTAAATCAAATTCTAGAGAATTGTAACCATCATCAGAATAATCTTCCTCGTCATCTCGATTATCGAATCGTTGTTGTTGCTGTAATTGTGATTGTTGTTGTTGTTGTTGTCGTAGTTGTAATTGTTGATGTTGATGTGGTTGTTGTTGTTGCTGTTGATTTGTTCTAGGATAGCGTTGCACGACGCGATGAATATATCTTCGAACAAGCTTTGTATGAGCACCCGATATAGTATCTTGTTTATTTGTTACAACATTATTATTAGTGGAAACTGTTTTTCGCATAGTTATTTTAGTAGCGCTAACGCCTGATAAATGCTGGTCAGTAACTTCTGAAATGGGTACTAAAATATATATTGTATATATAATGAATTTATTAGAAAGTTTATTTTATTATTATATTATATGCTATGTGTATTTTTCTAATGAATACTAATGTAATAAATCGACACAAAAAAAATTTTTTTTTCTAACAAAAACTCACTTTGACTGTGTGCACTTTCAGTGCTTACACCTCTTGAACTGTTTTGATCATGATTATGATTGTTTGAACTGTTTGAACTACTACCATGGAGGATAAAAACAAGTCTTTGTCTACCAGATGAATTATCAGAAGAAACAGTCGTATATTGATATTCGTTATCCATTGAATTATAATAATAATAATAATTTTTTTTAACTAACGAAATAATAAACAAAAAAATAAAAAAAATAAAAAAAGATAGGGAAGTAACGCTAAATTACTATTTATAGCGATAGGGTTTTTAAAAGACGGAAACGATCGGATCATATGACCGATCTTCTGTCCGTCACGACCTTTTCCAATTTTGAAAATGCCGCTCAACATTCACGTGGGTAAAATATACTCATGCTAAAAATAAAAAATAATCGCATTTATGCGTCTTTAAAATGAGACATTGACCCTTATTGCTTCTAATACTAATACTTCTTAATCGGGTAGAATGCTGAGATTCAGAGGTAATGACATGAACCCTTTCTAATTCTTGCTTATGTTTCTTTAAATGTTATAAGATCAACTAATTTACTACCAGAGCAATGTAAAATACATTCGCATTCGACCAAATCTCTAGTTTAAGGAGTAATATTACGATATTTTATGTACAGTGAACTCTTGATATAACGAATTCTAGGATCTGGATATCAACTTCGTTATAAGCTTATAACGAATTTTT